GCTTTTATAATTATTAGTTGTAAAACGGTCACCAGGCAATATTATCGCTTATCGCAATAAATTTTGAGACAATTAATCGCCCAGCAAAATTTGTTATCGTGACAGGCCTAGTGGGAATCGTTTACTCTCTTGTGATTCGATTCTGATTTTTGAGGCCACGATTCGATTCAAAGTCGATTTTTCATTCAAAACTGATGTGAGCCCATTCGTTGTGTTCCAAAATTGCTTCATCTTCATTTTGCCAATCTCGCACACCTTGCTCATGTCAAACTCAGACACATTCAGTAAAAAACAAAATGAGCCCAAATCTTTGCATTCAGTGAAGACGGGGCCAACTGAACCTCTCTTTCCTCCAGTTTTGTAGTTTCCTCTTTGTTTTGGTGCTTTCTGTGCATGCATWTGTTCTAGAAGCACACAGCTGCTTCTAGATGACGTCAGGACGTCCCGTGTAGTTACAAAATGGAGGCTGACAGCCACCGGATTAGCTTTTTTTTCTTTCCTTTTTTTTATTATAAAAATCGATTTTGGAACATTTTAAATTGACTCTAAATCTTTCTAAATGAGAATCACGATTCTGATGTAAAACAATTTTTTGGTGCACCCCTACAAAGTACTGCAAGAAAAAAGTTTAGCCAGGAGCTTGTGTACAGAATAAATACTCACAATCCCTGCAAAATAGAATGGTAAATGGACTGTACTTGTATAGTGCCTTTCTACCCAACCAGGATACACAAAGCGCTTCACACTACAATCTGTGTCCTCATTTACCCATTCACACAGCACTCTACCAGATCTCCTAGAAAGCTAACATRTACAATCAACTATGGAGACTAATCAGGGCCAATCACATTCATGCACTGATGAGACACACATCAGAGGCATTGGGGGTTATGTATCTTGCCCAAGGACACAACACTGAGACAGCTGAACAGGGGATCGAACCGGTGACCTTCCGGTTCCAGGACGACTCCCCTAGCCACTCTGCCACAGCCACCGCGTAACACCCCAGAAACAGCCTTTATTGTCCCGCGCGGGGAAATTCAGGTGCAGTAGCAGCAGCATGTCAATCCACAAAACAGTACGCTGCCATGCGACATCAATAGCAGTAAAAAATAATAGAATTAAAGATATTAACAACAAAAATAAACATTGATCAAAGTCAAAAATAAGAATAACAATTACTGTACCGGTCCATCGAGGAAAAATTAGATAAAAATGAAAGTAAAAAACAAGCTACTGTGCAGAAAGATACATAATCACAGGAAATAACAGTCATGACTGACTTGTGCAAATTGAGTCAAACTCAGGGTGTGCAAATTGTTTCAGACTCAGTCATTGAGCCCAGTACAGAAAAAAACAGTGAACAATTATTATAATTATTGTTTATTATTTGTGTAATGATTGTGAGGTAGAGTTGTTTGATGTGCAAACACAAACATGGATGCTTATCATGATTGTTGCGAGCGGTCATGGTTATAAAGTCTAACAGCTGATGGGAGAAATGATCTGAGGTAACGCTCTTTTGTGCATTTAGGATGCCGCAGTCTGTCACTGAAGGAGCTCTGCAGATCAGCTACAGTTCCATGCWYTGGGTGGGAGGAGTTYTCTATTATAGATGTTATTTTAGTCAGAGTTCTTCTGTCTCCCACCACTTGCACTGTGTYGAGGGGGCATCACAGCACAGAGCTGGCCTTCTTGATGAGCTTATCCAGCCACTTCCTCTCAGCTGCAGACAAGCTGCTGCTCCAACAGACAATGCCATAAAAGATGGTTGAAGCCACAACTGTGYCAAAGAATGTCTTTAAGAGCGCCCCTGCACTCMAAAAGACCTCAGCCTCCTCAGAAGGTAGCGTCTGCTCTGACCCTTCCTGTAAAGAGYGTCTGTGTTGTGAGTCCAGTCCAGTTTATTGTTCAGGTGAACACCCAGGTACTTATAAGAGTCCACTATCTCAMTGTCCACTCCCTGGATGTTCACCGGTGTCAGTGAGTCTGCGCCTGCGGRAATCCACCACCAGCTCCTTGGTTTTAGCAGCGTTGATCAGGAGGTGGTTCYGCTGGCACCAGTCCACAAAGTCCTGAGTCCATTGTCTGTACTCTGAGTCGTCCTCACCTGTGATGAGGCCGACTATGGCAGAGTCATCAGAGAACTTCTGTAGGTGGCAGTGTGGGGTGTTGATGGTGAACAGGAAYGGTGCCAGCACTGTTCCCTGGGAGGCCCCGGTACTGCAGACCAGCRTGTCCGAGACACAGCCCTGTGTCCTCACATACTGTGGGCGGTCTGTGAGGTAGTTAAAARTCCACTGGGACATGTGGTGGTCCACTCCAGACAGCTCCAGCTTGTCCCTCAGAAGTCCTGGCTGGAAKGTGTTGAAAGCACTGGAGAAATCAAAGAACATGATCCTCACRGTGCTTCCAGGCTTCTCCAGGTGAGTCAGAGTGCAGTGCATAAGGTAGATGATGGCATCATCCACACCAATGCCAGGCTGGTARGCAAACTGTAGCGGATCCAATGAAGACCTCACCAGGGTCAACATGACTTTGCCAACATCAAAATCAACATGACTACTTAATTTTTGCCACACAACTGAATCAATGAAAAAAAAAACTTATTATAACTAGGCCTGTCACTAACAAATTTTACTGAACAATAAATCGTCTCAGAAATTATTGCGATAATATCGTTGGAGACCAGTTTAAACTAATATAATGATATAACCCCCATTTATTGAAGTTTACATAAAGTAAAAAGAAAAAACAACTGCTGGCATTTCCAAGTTTTGGCACAGATCCCTGAGGGCATCCTGAGGTGTTGCCAGCTGTATGAAGGTGTCAGAAAAYTGAAGMCACTCCTCTGGCTAAATGTCTGTTAAGGGGTTCAAATGCTAYAGAAGGTAGAAACTATGCACCTGGCAATTACCTGACACCAGAGTTAAGTCCTC